AATAAATATAAATATCATTATAAATATCAATATAAATATAGATATAAATATAAATGTAAAAATATCTCTCTATCTATCTCTATCTCTATCTCTATCTCTATCTCTATCTCTATCTCTATCTCTATCTTTATCTGTATCTGTATCTTTATCTTTATCTTTATCTTCATCTTTATCTTTATCTTTATCTTCATCTTTATCTTTATCTTTATCTTTATCTTTATCTTTATCTTTATCTTTATCTTTATCTTTATCTTTATCTTTATCTTTATCTTTATCTTTATCTTTATCTTTTTCTCTATCTTTATCTCTATCTTTATCTTTATCTTTATCTCTATCTTTATCTTTATCTTTATCTTTATCCTTATCTTTATCTTTATGTTTATCTTTATCTTTACGTTTATCTTTACGTTTATCGTTTCTCTTTATCTTTATGTTTATCCTTATCTTTATTTTTATGTTTATCTTTATGTTTATCTTTATGTTTATCTTTATCTTTATCTTTATCTTTGTCTTTATCTTATTTTATCTTATCTATTTGTTTATCTGTTTATTCTTTGTCAATCAATCAATCAATCAATCTATCTATCTATCGGCCTGCCTGTCTGCCTGCCCACCCACCCACCCACCCACCCACCCACCCACCCACCCACCCACCCACCCACCCGTCGACCTACCTACCTACCTACCTACCTATCTATCTATCTATCTATCTATTTACCTATCTATCTGTCTATCGATTTGTCTATCTATCTTTATACATATATGTACATATCCACAAAATCAATACTGTTCAGGATTGCAAGTTCTCGGGTTGAAGTTTAAAAAAGGCAGCCCTAAGAGCCTTTGCTGGAGGTCCCGGTTTGCTGCTTTACGATTGCTGGGTATGAGTTCCAGTTCTGTTTGCTGTGCGAGGAGAGGGCATACAGGGGGCAAGCCCAGCGCAGATGCATGGGACATGTCATGCCTCTGCGGCCATGTTGATGGTGTTTCTCACAGCCGCATGCACGTGCAGCAGGCCATGCGAGAAAAAGGTTGGGGAGGCGGCAAGTACCTTATCGATGGCTTCCCCAGGACTCGTACATCTCTGCGCAGAGGTTCACATGCGTCAATTGATATTCGACCATCAGCACGCGTTATCAATAGACTTGAAGGGTGCTGGTCCTGGTGTTCCGCAGCAGTAGCCCTGGGCTGTCTTGTTCCTTGCATTGAATGTAGGGTTGAGAGTCTCGGGTTGGGAGAAATGGCTTCTTGTTGTGGCTCTGCAACTGGCCAGTACGAAGGAGCTTCGACAATTTGGCAGCTTGGGAGCAAATGGCTGGAGACCAGGCGCCTGTCCATTTCGCCAATTGCCCTAGGCCTAAACCCTGCTTTAGCACTAAAGTCTAAACCCACACCCGAAAACCTCAGCTTTGTGCTCTTGCTGCAGGTGTTGGTGAAGTTTGTGCTCTACCTGGACGTCTGCGAGCAAGTCATGGAGGTGTGAGCCGTCGGTACAAGCATGCAGTGGCATAAAGTGCACGCCAAGATGCAGTACGTAGTACCACTCAGCAGACTCTTAGGTCTTAAGCTTCTCTCAGTTTCTGAAGGCAAGGCTTCTGGAGCGAGGAAAGACAAGTGGCCGTGCAGATGACAACATCGAGTCGCCGTCTCAGAGTCACATAGAAGTCTCATCTAGGAGTCGCGCTGTCGCTGTCGCCGTCGGTGCTCTTGTTCCCGAGGTCCATTCGGAAAAGGTTCCTGACCTTCCACCAGGACGTCTTCTCATTTTTTTCTATTCTTTAATTTTTATGAGCCTTGGGTACTGAAAACAGCGCGGAGACGAGGCTGTTTCAAGCGCGTCCAGGCCAGGGCGATGGGTTGGCTTTCTAAGTCCTGAGGTTGACCCAGAGAACAAGATGACCGCATGGGAAGCATAGCGAGCCGATCGGTTCGGGATTGCTTTGGCCGGCGCTGTTGCAGGAGTCGAGACCGGTGGTGGAGAGGTTCCAAGCAGATGGCCGTGTCGTCAGGAGCTGTGTTTTGTCCTGGGTGCAATTGTCGGTATGACATACCCTTAGCCCTAAGCCCTAAACCCTGTACTGTGACCATGGAGGATAGATGCCGAGCAACACCGAGATGACGTATGGCGAGACGTCCAGGCCCAATGCTTGAGCCGGTCTGCATCAAGCAGAGCTGTCCCTCGACTCGTAGTTGGCAGAGTTGAAGAGTGCGAAGAGGCTGCCGTCTTTTCAAGCATGCATCAGCCTGTAGCGTATGTAGCGCAGCTCACATCTGCCGAAGGCCTATCATTGAAACTCCCGAAGCCTCATCTGATGCTTGAATCAGCAGCCTAAGCCCTACATAAACCCTAAACCCAGCATGTTTCCGGGAGGCACTCTTCGGTCCAAGTGTCGTCTTCGTCTTGGGTGGCCCTGGTTCCGGAAAGGGCACGCAGTGCACGAAGATAGCCGTGCGGAGCCTATGCAGTATGCAGATATGCCTTTGTAGGCTTCTCTTTCGAGTATCGCTGGAAGTCGTGGGTAAGTCAAACTTGCCTTACAACCATGGCCATGGCGTGCCCAGCTGGAGATTGCACCGTTATGGTTTCTGCAGTCGCTGCAGGAAAGCTTCGGCTATGTGCACCTCAGCGCAGGTGACCTACTTCGAGAGGTCGGTACTGTCGCAGGTTCCGGAGAGCAAGAAGCGCGTGCTGAGCTGAGCAGGAAAGGGCTCGCGAAGGTTCGGAGTACGGTGAGCTGATCAACTCCTACATCAAGGACTTTCGCATTGTGGTGCTGCGATTGTGCTTGGCGCTTGACTTTGGGGCCTGTTGCGTCCTTTACATGCAGGAGGGAAAGCTAGTTCCAGTGGAGATTACAATCGAGCTGATCAAGCAGGCTGATGTCGCAATTGCAAGCAGAGCGAACTAGTGTTTTTGACTCGTGATCACTAGATGGATGCATTACGTTGCATGAGGCTATGGTGAAGTTTGGCTGGGAGGGTGGAAGGTGCTCCTCCCCCCCCCCCCCCCGCACGTCTACTTCGCAGTTTCGAGTGTTTGTGTGGGCCTCGCAGTCTGATTGCATGAGCTGCTTAAGTCGGCCTGTTTGCGTCGTGGAGGTACTTGATTGACGGGTTTCCCAGAAGTTTCGACAACTTGAAAGGCGTGTCCGAAGCAACGGTGTGCCCAGAGTTTCTTACTCATTAAGCATGCAGTACAACAGCTACATTCAGTGCATATGGCACAGAGGATGAGTTGACCAATCTGTGCAGCTGCATGATGTACTAGATAATTCTTATTTCTGCTAGTTCTTCTGTTTTGCTGTTGTTGATGTACTGAGGTTACTAATGTCATTCATGTCAAAATTCTCATTACTATGACTCACATTATTACAAGTATTTGTTGTTTTTCATATTCATTATTAGTATTACCACTGTTGTTATAAGGATTTGTTATTATTCTCATTATCACAGTCGCCATCACCATTACCATTACCATCACCATTGCCATCGCCATCACCATTACCATCGCCATTGCCATCACCAGCAGCAGAGCAGCAGCAGCAGCGACAGCACAAGCAGCACCAGCACCAGCACCA